TGTGTGTGTGTGTGTGTGTGTGTGTGTGTGTGTGTGTGTGTGTGTGTTAGAGGGGCGCACGCGTGAGTGGGGGTGCAGCGGGGGGTGGGGCGGGGAGGCTAGGCAGAGCCTGGTGCGTCTCCCCAGGAGAGTGGAGGAATCCTAGGGTGTGCCTGGAGGTGGTAGCGGAGTGTGCCAACGCGGGTGTGAGCGCGTGTGCGGGCGAGGGTGGGCATGGGGATGGCGTGGCAAGGTGAGCTTGGCTTGGGGGTTGGGGGAGGAGCCGGGCGTGCGGCGTGATCGTGAGTTCGGGGGTGTGTGTGGCTGGGGACTTGGGAAGAGGTGGCGGGGAACGCCGGCGTGTGTGGGGTGTGTACTGTCTCCCATTCACTGTCCACGCGGCAGAGCAACTCCACTCCTTGGTCACCTAGAGAGGTGCAGCCGGTCGCCGCGCAAGCTTTCAGGCTGACCCTGAACTGTCAGCTGTGCCAAAGCTGGAGAGGTCCCAGGGGAGACAAACTGCCTTTACCTCTACGTAAGAGCCACTGCCCTACAGGAGGGAGATGGCATGGTCAGAAAGGTCAGGATTCGCTCCAATCCTCCACCACGAATTCACAGATTTAAGACCGAGAATTTGGGAACGTGAAATCTCACTTCTTTGTCTTCCCAGAATGGGCCCAGGCCCTGGACGTCCCAGAAGCCCAACGACCCCTCTTGCTTAGTGCTTGAACCCAGCGTGAAGAGTGGGAGACTGGCAAATGCCCATGGGGTGTAGTGGCCGGCCCGGAGTCCCAGGATCACCGCGGCAGCACGTGTAGAGCGAAGTCCCGGCCGCTGAGCCAAACCGTGGCCGGCTTTCCCTGTGTCTCCGGCCTGGATGCTGGGAATCCCGGGCCCGGAGATCGCAAAGCAGGCAGCTTCCTGCCTCTGCAGGGACTGGAACACTTTGGTTTGAGAAATCGCAGTTCTGAGTGTGGAGAGAGGTGTGTGTTGAGACACAGTTGGAGAGAAAGCGAAATGTGCGGCGAGGGTGAGGGCGAACTTGGTAGGGCATGTCTTTAATTGTGGCCGAAAAAAAAAAGACCTTCCTGAGTCCAGAACAGTGTTTCTGGCTTGAGGCAAACAGAGCCTGCTCCAGAAGTACAAGGCTAGGGTTAGTTATTGAGGTCTCAGCTACTCTGGGCCTCTGGTAGCCCGGAGCTCCTTTTTCATAGGCTCACTTAGGCTAACCAAGGCTCCCTTAAGTGTGTCAGTCTGAAAGGTGCACAGTTGGCCCTTCGAGAAGTGGGCGTGGATCTATTAGCGTTTGCAAAAAGTCCTGGAACCCTGCGGGATTTGCATGCTCATTTGCATACGGTAATAATCATTAGCAACACTGCCACTCCCTGGCCAACCCTGGAAGGATTCAGGGAAGGTCCTGGCAGGGATTCTCCCTCCCTCCTCTCTTTGGGGAAGTTGCTGTTCATGCTGGGTTTGATCTAGGTATTTTTTATGTTTATCTTTTTTAGCTGTAACCTCTGCTGCTGTGACTCCCGAGAGGAGGCACCCTGTCCCTGAGTGGCCTGGCCCCAATTGGAACACCTTCCTTAGGTCTTCTACCTCCTTCCCAACTTGGGGCAGTGGAAACATGGCATTTTATTTCTGCCTCGGTTTGGATTTCCTGTGCATTCTTGCCACTGTTCTGCAGCGTAAAGATAGTTTAGGGATCGAGTCTCCCACACTGTCAGGGAAGGAGTGGTTCCCTGGGGACATCAGTAGACTCTTGGACTGGTCTACTAATGGGACAACTTGTGGCGTCCGCGTCTTTGTAAGCCAGGACACTCATTCAGACACCCTGCCCCACCTTCTCCAATCCGGTTCCTCAGATGCTCCTACCTGGTAGCCCAAGTGCAGTGTCTGTGGACTGCTCTCTCTCTCTCTCTCTCTCTCTCTCTCTCTCTCGCTCTCTCTCTCTCTCCAGTATCTAGAGAAAAGTAAGGGAGACTTGGATTTCTAGTTCAGGCCAGTGTGGGTTTTGTTTACAGTTCTCGCTGAGGCCAGATGAGGAGGAAAATGGAAAAAAAGAGAGGAGAAAGGAGGTACCTGGAAGAGACACTGTCCAGGAGACACGGGGTACCCAACCCTCCATCTCTTCCTGGAATCTCCCCAGCCATGGCTGTTGGCTCCTTCCTCCCTCTGCCTCTGGCCCAGCCTGGCCGGGATTTTTCACTTGGTTTTCCCCCATGACACGGCCGCTTTTCCTTTAACTCCTGGCTTCTATTTAAAAAGCTAATTTGGGAGCTTGTCGATGCTCCCAATTCAGACATTTTAAATAGGAACTGAAAGTCAGGAGCTGCCAGGGCACTAGGTTTCCTCCTCTCGCCACTGGCACTGCTGAAGAGTCAGTTCAGTTTCCCAGGCCCCATTGAGTATGTGTGTGTGTGTGTGTGTGTGTGTGTGTGTGTGTGTGTGTGTTCCTCCAGCTTGGGGAGTATTCTTTTCTATTTAAAGACAGTACTGCTATGAAGACTCTGCATATGTGTGTCCATGTGTGTCTGTGTCCTCTCCAGACTGTGCACACATTAGGATCCTTCCTTGGTCCCCAGGCTCTGGCCGCTGTTTGCGGAGCTTGTCCCCGTGTGGCCTGTGAGGGGAAGACGCAGCATTCTTAGAGTCAGCTCCCTCTTTGCTGACACGCCAGGCTACTGTTGTCTGTGCTGTTCTTTCCCAGCACTGGTGTTCTCAAGCTTGCTCTTTGACTCTTGTCTGGGCTTCCTGGAGGGTCGATCACACCCTCGATTCTGGTGGCTGCCCTACTTTGGTTGTTTGTCCTGTGCTGGGCAAGCATTTTGGAGCTGAGACTCTTCTGAGGGTTGCAAGTTTTCTACGTTCAGAATGCCATGTACCTTGAAGGCGGGGCGGGGGGGGGGGAGCAGACTTTGAAATCAGAGTGATTAGGTCTGAACCTGCCTCTGCTGTTCCTAGCTGTAGGACCATAGGGAGCCTCCTTAACCTCTCTGTGCTTTGGGTTTTTTTTGTTTTTTCCCTCATCTCTAAAATGTCCAATGATAGAAATGTGGCGCTTTAGTAGCTATCATAGATAACATATTTAAAAACAATGCCTGGAATTTGGAAACTTGGTTATTGTTCAAGATAGGAAGTACAGAGCACTCTGTCTAGGGAAGAAGTTGGAACAGCCAGATTGTGTTCAGGTGCCCGTACACATGCGTTAAACCAACATGCACATGACAATACAAATGCCAGGCCAGGGCCTGCCATGTCAGGTTTACCTCATTGGGCTATCTGAGTCCCTAAGTTCCAGAAAACAATAAAGGAACAGGCGCAGTGTTGTAGGGACAGGGATGAGAAGGGGTCTTAGCAAGCCAGATACCCATAGGGAATGTTCTAGAGGCCAGATTTATGCAGGAGGAGTAGGTTCCACAGGCTCCCACCTCCCTACCCTACCCAAGCACATACAGCCAGGCTCCAGGAAATGAAGCTACAGAGAAAGGAGTGCCAGCAGGGGTAACCCATAGTTCTTAGTGCCCCCTCCCTTTATATTGCCTGTTTGGTCCCATCCCTGTCCCTGCCTCTCACCCCTCCTTACCATTGGGCAGAGGAACTGATAAATTTGCTATCAGAGTCCATTTCTCTCAGTTGAGTAGAATGTCAGCATATGAGGAGGAACACGGAAGGCCATAAGCAGCAAGAAGAGCTGTAAGCAACTGAAGACATAACGCTCTCTGCAGGCTCCAGTGCAACCTTGCAAATCTGGAGGTATATGTGGTGTCTTGGCTACTTTTCTATTGCTGTGATAAAACATCATAATCAAGGCAATTTATAAAAGAAGGCATTGAATTTGGAGCTCATAGTTTGAGATGGTTAGTGTCCATGTACATCATGACAAGGAGTATGGGATCAGACAGGTAGGCATGGTGCTGGAGCAGTAGCTGGGAGTTTACATCTTGATCTACAAGCACAAGGCAGACAGAGGGAGGAGAGAGAGAGACCGAGACCGAGAAAGAGACAGAAAAACAGGAGCATTCGAGAGGGAGCTAATTGGGAATGGGGTGGGCTCTTGAAACCTCAAAGCCTACCCCCCACCAGTGACACACCTCCTGCAATAGGAGGTTTTAATCCTTCTTCAACAGTTTCACCAACTGGGGACCAAGTATTCAAACATGTGTGCCTATTAGGGGAGAGGTGTTTTCATTCAAACCACCACATCTAGCTTTGCATGTCAACTCTGAGCTGGGGAACAGCCCTAAGCTGACTGCTGCCTATGTCTTCCATGCCCTCATGGTAGACATGACCACTCACAGATGCCCACAGGGAGGCAGTCCACAGAGGGGAACCTCTGTAGCATTCACCACGTTTTTCTGAGAACCTGCAGCTCCACCTTCTAGGCTAGGACAGCTGGTCAACAAGCCCCAGGGATCCCCCTATCCCTACCTTCCCAGAGATGGCATCGTAAGCACGCACTACCGCACCTGGCTATTTCTGTGGGCGTCAGAAATCAAGCTCGGGCCCTGATGCT